TATAATTGGATGTACAAGACAACCAACCAATGACCAGAATCCGTACCATCATCCAACAAACAACCGCTCCTTATACCCAAAAAATAATAATTTATCAATAATAATAATAATAATAATGTTAAAACGATCCAAAATGGATTTTTGCAAGTTTTTGTTTTTGTTTTTCCAATAGCTCCCGGTAAGAAAAAAAAAAAGTAAATAATAATAATAATAAATGAAACAAGTTCCGGATTCGGTAAAAACTTTAAATAAAAATTTTCACATTTTTTTTCTTATGCAACGAAAAAAAAAAATCCCGCGTAAATATATCGCAACATCCGCAAACGACACAAACTCAATAATAATAATGATGATGATAATGATAATAATGATAATAAATTAATTGCAAAAAAAAAAAGAAAACAAATTTTATATATTTTCTGTAGGTCGATCGTGTGGGATGGAGATTATCGTTTTTAAATACCAAAAACGGTTAAAAACTGGCATTTATTTGTCGTTTACGCTCTCCTTAATTTCTTTTCAATTCGAGTTTTCTTTTCTAAAAATTATTACATTGATTAATTTTCAAAATATTTCTTATCAATTGTTATCAATTGAAAAAAAAAAAAACGTTACGAATGGAAAACGTTTACGATGAGATGAAATTTCCAGTGAGATAAAAAAACAAAAAATTTAATTTTACGAAATAATCATTTTAAAAAAAACAATTATTATTATTATTATTATCCACCATTAAACACGACAAGGCTATTTGTCGGGGTTTTAAGTATTTATCCGAGGTTTCTACCCGATTCCTTAGGGACAAACACTCGAATTTCGGTGGTGCCACTTATAATAAGATAGCACCACATCAATTCTTGAAGGTCTTCCTGAGTCCATCTTTATTCGATGGGAACGATTTGTCTCCTGAACTGGGCTCCAGTGACTAACATCTTTGGAGTGGCCAGGGTCAGAAGCAGTGAAATTCACATTCTCGTTGAGCTGCCTCAGGTCGACAGTAGAACAAGATTTGTTTTTGGTTCTTACTTTGTCTTGTTCTCATTTTTGCTCTTTTAAGCCAACGGCACGTGGCGTTCCCAAATGGTCACCCATCCAAGTACACACCACGCCCAATGCTGCTTAACTTCGGTGATCGTACGGGAACCGGTGTATCCAGCACTTATTATTATTATTATTATTATTATTATTATTACTCGAGCGTTATGCATAAAAAATTTTATGAGTGAAGAGGATTTTCCGTTTTTATTTATTAAAAAAAAATTAATAATTTTTTCACTCGGTTGTCATAACAATCGTTAAAATAAATCGAATTATTTTTTATTATTTTTCCACCCACCTTCACCCCCTCCGTTTTTATCGTTTAATTATTATTATTATTATTTTTAATAAAATTTTAT